CAAGTTCTTTTCCCCTACTTGGGAAGTTTTCTGCCATTACATCTGTGAACAGTTTTTTTATGTCATCTGCACTCTCTCCTGTTTCTTCATTGACTCCGATTAGTCTTATGTTTTTTTCTGCATTGTCTAGCAGCTGCTGGATCAATTTCTTGCAGTCCTTTACTATTTTTAAGAAAGCTTTCTTTTCCTGGTCACTAATTGCAATCCTGTTTTCTATATCTGAAATTCTGTCCTCACACTGGCTCATTCTGCTGTGCAAACTTTCAATGGAGTTTTTAATCTCCTGGAAATCTGTTTGCATCTCTTTTACAGATTCCATTTGTTTCCTATGTTGGGATTCCATCATGTTCCTCAGCTCTTCTATTTTTTTTTATCTGTGTCTGCTCTAGATTTATTAATCATGTTTTGTACTATGGGCACAATCTCTGCTGTTACCTGAGAAATTATTTCTGATTTCATTTTTTCCAGATCCTCTTTCATTGCCAGTCCAGGTGGGTGGGTATCAGATTGTTCCATCTCATTTCCCTTTGGGGTTGCCTTAGGTGATCTGGAAGTCTGGTTTTGAGACTTGCTTATGGGTCTTCTCATTTCAACAGATGCAGCCTGCTTCACCTTTGTTGGGGCAACTTTTTGCTCACCCAATGGTCTTCAATTCTCAGCAAGCCACCAAGTGGCCTTTTCTCTGCTGCTCACCAGGGCACCAATTCCTGGGTTCAGAATGGTGGCCTTCTGGATCCTTGAGCTGACCTGTTGTCTGGGTGGGGTTCTGGCTGGGTCCTGTGCAGAGATGGGATGGTATCTAGGCATGCCTGTGGCTAGGGCCTATTTCCCTATGTAGCTGTTGTCTGGGAGGGCCTTTGGCTAGGGGCTGTGCACCCCAGTCCCTGGTGTCTCAGCTGACTTCTGGTTAGGGTTTCCAAATACTTACTGATGGTGTTGGGATGAGCCACTGGCTGTTGCTTGTGCACCTGTGCAGCTCTTTTCCAGGCAGACCCTTGGCTTGGGCCTGTGAGTCCAAGCAGCAGGGGTTGGGGTGGAGCCCTGGCTGGACCTGCCTGAAGCCTCACTGCTCTGGTCCACACTGTTGCTCACTGGGGTCTGTGCACACTTACCAATGGTATCAGGGCGGGCCTCTGGCTGTTGTTTGTGCACCTGTGCAGCTCTTTTCCCAGTAGCCCTTTTCTAGATAGGGTGGTCTTTCTTGTTTTCCTCTACATCATAAGTTCCTGCCTTAATTTCTTCTATTGATATCTATCAATAAATTTAATCCTAAATAGGTTTTCACTACTTTCTGCCTTTGAGTTTCCACTGGGTTGGCTCCTCTGGTTTTGATACTTTTTTCTTTGGAAATTGAATGCTTCAGTCATTTAAAAAATTTCCTCCCATTTTAAATAATAAGAGAATTTAGTATTATGAATTTAGTCTATTTAGTCACATTCCAGGTTTTAATACACACATAATATGCTTTATCTTCTAAATAATGTTATTATATATTTTCTCTGATTAATTTTTAAAATTTTCAGTTCTCAAATAAGAGATGGTATTTACATTTTTACTAATATTTTCAAATGTTTATATTAATTCACATATAATTACACATATTTACAGTGTGATGCTTATATACATGCAACTTTTAAAATTTCTAATTAAGTATGAACAAAGAATTTGGCCCACACTCATCTGAAGATGTTACTGAAGTCTGATTTTTTTGTATGACTATTATATCAATTTTTAAATAATGCATTAAACATCCACAAACAAGGTATACTCTGTAGGATCTAAAGAGCAATAGGTATTAATCTAACCCTGAAAACATATTCCCAACATATACTCAGTGTTTTACAGATTTTTCTCAGTCATGTGTTGTTTAACAAGGATGCTACAATCTGAAAAGGGCATTTTTAGGTGATCCCATTCTTTAATGAACATCATTGAGACTTAACACAAACTAAGACAGCTATGTAATCTTATGGGACCTCTGTTGGACATCCAGTTTGCCACTGACAAAAATATTGTTATACAGCTCTTCACTGTATCAAAACCAGTAAAAGTACACATATTACATGGTTCCATCACAGGAGGTCCCTACCATAGTCAAATTTGAGATGGAAAGTCAAATTATGGCCGCTAGGGGCTGGCAATGTGGACAATGGGAACTTGTTTGATGGGTTCAGAGTTTTCATTTAGGAAGATGAAAATGTTCTAGAGTTGGATGGTTATAATAGTTGCAAAACACTTTGAATGTATCTAGTGCCACTGAACTGTTGTACACTTTCATAGGGTTAAAATGATATTTTACATATATTTACAATAATAAAGATAAATTTTAAGTCTATGATTTAGGTGTCTAATTTGTAACTGATGAAGTGTCTAAGGACACACCATCAGTAAGTAGTATAGAGTCAGGATTTAAATTGGTGAAATTAGCATTTCTCCTTGTTATTCCCTCCTGGTATGAACTTCTGAGAACTGCTCCTCTACCCATGCAGAAGGGAAGGCCTGTTCCCCAAAACTAACGAAAAAGATTCAACAGCTTCACCTAGATACCTCTGCTTCTTCTGGGGAAGATCTGCTTATTTCTCATCTCTCCACAGCTGCCAAGAACACCACACAGAGTCCCACCAGTGTAGCCTCTAAAGCCACCACAGCTGGTCTCAACTTCACAGAAAGAAAGAGCTCAGAGCATCAGTCCCTGAGTCTGGGAGCTACAGTGGGGGTGGCAGTGGCTGCTGCCATTGCACTCATAACCATGACTGTGGGGCTGATGGTCTTCTTTGGGTGGCAGAGAAAAAAAGGTAAGTGGTCCAGGACCAGCTCTCCTGGAGCTTCCCAGCTGAGTGTTTCTCAGAACCTACCTGCATCAAAATCATTGATGGTGCTTCTTTAATGCAAATCTCTATTGGGCTCATCTCAAACTCACCAAGTCATGCTCTGGGCCTGTGGTTGGGAATTTCTGATTGTAACAGGTTCCTCAAGTGGGGTGTGTGTGGGCTCAACTTTGAGAACCACCAATCCCTGTCCACAGAATCTGATCATTTGCCAATACAGCACTTTCCCTTTTATTTAGTCATTTCTCACAAATCATCACTTTTTGGTTCATGGAGAAGGAAAGGTCAGTTCTGGGGAAAGTAAGGAAAGAACAGAAGGAACAGGAATTTGCTCAGCTCAGAAAGGACTAGACCGCTGTTCACATTCCAGAATCTGGCTTGAAACTGGAGAATAAAAACTAGATGAAGCATGCAGTCTGCTTTTTAAGAGACTCAGCGTCAGGGAGTTGCATGTGGTGGTGGGGAGCATGGGCTTAAGGGCTAATTGCTCATTAGGAAAGAGCTGTTGGAGCCTGGGATTTAGCTCAGTGGTTCTGGTGCCTGCCACGCAAGCGCAAAGTCCTGAGTTCGATCCCCGGTACAAAAAAAAAAAAGACACAATAAAAGGAAAGAGCTGTGGTAGTGCTAAAAAAGATCAGAGGAAGGAGAGTCAGGGAGAACTTCCCAATGGAAATAAACCTGTAAAATAAACCCCAAAGAATAAAAAGAAAGAACCAGACAAACGCTAAGGGTGGTGGAAAGGACAGTCACTGGCCATCCTAGCAGACTCCACTATAAGAACTGTAAGTACCTCAATGAAGAGGCAGGAGATGAGAGAAGGGGACCTTGTAAGTCACTCTCAGAGCCTCTGGCCCAGAGAAAATGTGAAGCAACAAAGTGACCACCTCAGCATCCTGCTGTGAAGACATCATCAGTGCACAGGGGACAGGCGGGAGGTGGGCCAGGCTGGATCAGTCTAATGCAGTGATGCTGCACACGGAAGGAAAGGGCCAGGTCCTGGAAAAGTCTAAGAAGCAAAATCTTTGAGATTTAGTGATTATACTGATCCGCAGGCAAGGGAGTTGAAAACATTCACCATATTTTCAACTTGGGTGAAAAAGGCTATGATGAAGGTGCCAAGAAAAATAGGGAACACAAGAGGAAGACCATGTTTGAGGAGAAAAGATGTCAAAGCCAAGCTTCTTTCCCTGGCTGTGGGAACTTGGGCGCCATGATACAAATGTACCATGGGATGAACACTTGACTTCCACAAGGATAAAAGGGAGATAAGAACAGCATGGGGTTCTTTCGTGGGGTTGTCCTGATGATTAGATGTAATACATTCAAACTAGATCCTAGCTTAGAACAAGAACTATCTGAGCATTAGCTCTTACAAATTAACTGAATTAAGAAGATGCAATACTGGCGTATTGATACAGACAAACTAACAAAAGAAAAGAAAAAAAACCCAAACAAATAAAAGATGCACATAGACTCAAATGTATGTGGGAATTCAGTAGATTAAAAGGCAAATTTTCTAACTGAAGCAGGAACATGGGCAATTCAATAGATGGTGCTAGAAGAAGTGGGTGGGTATCCAAAAAAAAAAAAAATAGCAGTGTCTCCTACCTCATCATTTTCACCAAAATAAATTCCATAGAAATCAAGGATTTAAATAAGCAAAAATAATCCTAATAATAGAAGAAAGCACGTGACAGTATTCTATAACATGGAATTATTTTATTATCTCCCTAAGTTAAAAGCCAATAATCATGAATTTAAAAAGATGAGTAAATTTAACGACATAAGAAAAATTACTAAAATCATCACAGCAGAAAAAAAACAGTGACTGTTCCTTGAGAGTGAGGAAGATGGTCAGAGACTTGAAGAGGAAGTTCAAAATAGTGACTGAGGAAACAAGAACTGGGCTTTGAGGATTGAATTTATATGAGAATCTATAAATCTGTAAAACTGTGACTATACGTGATTGTGATTTCCCCATCAGTATTTGACTCTGCTTTAAAACCCTTTTCTTTTCTTGTTTTCATTTTTGGTGGAACTAGGGATGGAACCTAGAGCCTCACACACCCTAGGCAAATGCTCTACTACTGCACTACATCCCCAGGCCTGTTTAATTTTTTCGTTTTGAGACAGGATCTTGCTAAATTGCCAGGGCTGTCCTCAAACTTTCAAACTTCCTGCGTTCACTTCAGAGTTGCTCGGAATCCAGGGACGCACCATAACATACTAGGCAACCAGGTTCAACAGCACATGTAAAGGGTTATATTATACACCACAGACAAGCAGGATTTATCCTTGAAATGAAAAGATGGTTTGATATACAAAAGTCAGTCAAGAACCAGGTGTGGTAGCACACACCTGTAATCCTAGTACTCTGGAGGATTACAAGTCCCAGACCAGCCTGGGCAATTTAATGAGACTCTGTCTCAAAATAAAAATTAAAAAAGGCTAGAGACGTAACTCAGTGAAAACCTTTGGCTCAATCCCCAGTAGCACCCCCCCCCAAAAAAGTAAGCCAAAAACTAGAGGGCTTAATTAGCAGTTGCAAGGTCCCGGTTCAATCCTTAGCACTACAAAAATAATTAATTAATTTTTAAAAACCAATCAATGTGATCTATCACATTCACAGACTAGGAAAACAAAAACTATCTGATCATGTCAAGTGATACAGAAAAAGGACTAGACAATATTCAATACTCTTTCAAAATAAGAAAACATCCAACAAGCCAAGAAGGGAATGACCTCAGTATAATGAAGGGCATTTATTAAATATCCACAGTTAATATCACTCAATGGTAAAAGACTAAAAGGTTTACACCCAAGATTAGGAATAAGGCAAGGTTGCCCACATTCACTACTTGTATTCCAAGTAGTACTGAAGGTCCAAGCCAGAGCAATTAAGGATGTAAACAGAATAAAAGGAACTCAAATTGGAATAAAAGAAGCAAAATTTTTGTTTGCAGGGGACATGATTTTACATGTTGAAAAGCTAGATTTGCCAGGCATGTTAGGATACTCCTATAATCCCAGCTCCTTGGGAGACTGAGGTAGAAGGATACCAAGTTTGAGGCCAGCCTGGAGAGCTTAGCTAGCCACATCCTGTTCACAATTTTAAAATTTTACAACTACTGAGGATATGGCTTAGTGGGACAGCACTTGCTTAGCATGCCTGAGGCCCTAGATTCAATCCCCAGGACTGTTTGAAAAAAAAAAAAAAAAAAAGAGCTAAGGATTCCAGAAAATATTGTTAGAATTAGGCTGGGGATTTAGCTCAGTGGTTCTGCCACCTGCCTTGCAAGCGCAAGGACCCAAGTTTGATCCCTGGTACCAAAAATATATATATATAATGTTAGAACTAATTACTGGATTCAGCAAAGTTTAAGATCACAATTCCATTTATAATAGCATCAAGAAATAAAATACTTAGAAAAAACCCTAACCAAGGAAGCAAAAGACTTGTACAATGACTACAAAGTACAAAACCTTGGTGAAAGAAATTAAAGAACACACAAATAAAAAGACATCTCATATTCAAAGATTAAGAGAATTAATAGATGAAGATATCCATACTACTCAAAACAATCTACAAATTCAATGCAATCCCACTGAAAATCACAATGGTATTTTTTACAGAAATGAAAAATTCACCCTGATATTCATATGAATTTTCAAAAAAACCTCTAAACAGCCAAATGTGGGGAGGACTTACATTTCCTATTTCAAAACATTTTAAAGCTGCAGTAATCCAAGCACCATGGTATTGGCATAAAGACAAACAGTCCAATGGAACTAATCAGAGAGCCCCAAACTAAAGCTCAATTACACAGTTAAATGATCTTCAACAGGGGCCAAGACCACTCAGATATAGGGTAAGAGGAAGAAGACTAGCAGAGACCAGCTAGCTAGAAGACTAGCTATTTCTGTAAGGGCAGAGTGTGGTGGGGCTGACTGCAGAAAAGGACAAGTAGGTAGGTGATGGTGAGCAAGGAATTCAAAGGGGGAGAAAGCAGCAAAGGGAAGAGACAGCAGGAATGAAGGAACAAGAGAACAGAAGAACTCATCTTAGAATTTGCTGTCAAGGACAACAGGGCAGGTGTGACCTAGTGAGACCCAGCCCTTCGCTGCTTCCTGGTCCATGTAAGGATTTTCTGAGCATAGGATACAGCTGAAAAGGTGAGACAGAGTCTGTCCATGGATGTCGCATTGATGTGCTGTTGGTCCCCCTACAGGTCGGCAGACTAAAACCCAAAGCCCTGCCAGGTGAGTGCTTGTTCTCCAAGGGGCGGGAGGAGAAAGGGCATGGCTTGGGAAGTTTCCTTGTGAGACCAAACAAGGCATCTTTCACAGCAGCTCTCCCATCCCTGACTCACGCAGTTTGTCCATCTTTGTCCTCTAATAGGCCAGGCTCTTGGCCTCTGCAGGCTCTATCCCTTGATCATGAGAACGGTGCCCAGTCTCTCAGGAGGCTCCCTCTTTCTTCTGCATCCTCTTTCCTTTTCTCTTCCAGTTCTTAAGCTGGTTCTGTTTATCTCGTATCCTGGAAACCTCGAACATCTCCTCTTGCTGGATGCAAGCAGCTCTCTCCTAGCTCATCCTCTGCTTTCTTCTCTCTGTCCAAGCTGATGTCTTCTTCCAGTGAATGTGCTATGGCCCCCAGGAGTCCTCTGCCTCCACTCCTCCACCTCTCTTGTCCTTCTTGCTTCATTCTCTTACCTCTTCTTCCTCTCCTCCTGCCCTTTTGGCCATTATCTTTCCTGCTCCAAGCCATCCTCTATATGCTCCATCTTTCACTACCTGCCCTTCTACTGGGCCCTCCCTGTCCCTTCTCCTTCCAAGAAACCAGCAAGAGCATTTGCCCAGAGGACCTGAAACTCACTAAATTGGTTTTATTCTCCTAGTTTTAGCCAAGCCAGTCCCAGCAGAGAGCACGGGGTTGATCCTTCCTATTTCTCTCGCTTCTCTAATGCAGGCATTTTCCCTAGAATAACCCTAACCTTCAGTGCTGAGGGACTCTGAGGGACCACCCCACCAGGGCCCTCAAAACTCCTCTTCCAAACGGCCTCCTGCTGAGGATCTAACACTATCACCTTCATCCTGCGTGTGTTAGGGCAGGTGGCAGAGCCCCCCTCAAAGAGACTCAGTCCCTGATGTCTTAACCCTTCTCTGTCTGGCAGCTAATACACTTCTCGTCCTCTTGACCCAATGCAGAGAACTTGCCCAAAGCAGTGAGGAGAACTATGAAAATACTGGGAATAAAGGTGAGTCCTACCCACCACCATTCGCATTTTATCCTTGGCAGTACCTTCTTGCCCAAACACACCCTGCCTACATTTACACCACCTCCTGCATTTCCCTTTTCCCCACTCCACACCTCATCCCTCCCACATGCCCCTGGCCCCGACCTACCAGATGACTTCCCTCCTGGAACCACCTGTCTGTCCACCCTACCTGTCATACCACCTGACCTCACAACTCCTTGATTTTTTTTCCCTAGGAAAACACAAAGATGCCCAGCAGAACCCCAAGGTAAGTAGCTCAGACTGGGATCTTAAGGAAAGTCAGTGAAGTCTGACAATGGTAGAGTAGAAGGAATGGAGGGCTTGTGGTTTGGGCAGGGCACTCAGGCAGTAGAGGCTGCTGTCTGAAGACAGGGACAGTTCTCTCTGCTGTCTAATCTTTTCTTTTGCTTTTCACCCAGAATGACATTGTCTATGCCTCCCTCACCCTCTCCAACTTGACCTCGCCAGGAGCACCTCCCTGCCACCCTTCCCATGAGAGCCCCCAAGAAGAGACACTGTACACGGTTCTAAAGACCCAATGAGTGGGGATGAATGATCTTAAAGTCCAATAGGAATGACCACAGCTTCCAATAATAGCTAAGACCAGAGATAGACAGCTCAGAAGTCAGCAAGTGTGAAGGGCAGAAAGGAATGAAAAAGCCACCTACACCAGTTCCTTCAACTTGTGAGGTCTTGCCCAGAAAACTACGATTATCCACAAAACTTGTCTGAATGCATCTAAAGAGGAAACTGATGTCAACTTCAACTTCTGCTTCTGCACTAAAAATAAAGTCTAATAGACAACTCATATCCAAGACCCCTCCTGTATTTTTTTCAGTGACTGCCTCAATCCAGCGAACACAAATTCCCAGATACTGGTAGCAGCTGTTATGGTTTAGGTCTAAAATAACCCCGTATTTTCTCATGTGTGCAGAGATGACTGGATCATGGGGATGCTATACTCATCAGTGGATTCATCCATGGATGAGGAGCTAAATGTGCTGTTAAAAGGTGGGGTCTGATTAGAGGTGGGTCATGGCGAGGCATGAAATGGAAAGGTGTATTCTTGTCCTTGGCAGGATCCTCCCTTCTCTCTGCTTCCCAACTGCTGACCATAAACTGAAACTGTGAGCCAAAATAAATCTCTCCTCCTTTAAGTTGTGGGTGTTAGGAATTGTGTCTGAGAAATGGGAAAGTGACGAAGACAATGGCCTAGAACTCAAAGTCTGCTCCTAAGTCTGACCATAACGTCCCCTCGTGATAACTAGCACCACTGGGACTGCCTCACACACACCCCTCACTGAATCATCCCCAGCACCCCAGCATGATGATGTGCCCTGGTGAGGTGTGGGTGCAAGCCCAGATGGTTACAGTGCTTTCCCAAGGCCAGGTTAGCAGCTAGTAAGTAGCTGAGCTGGGATGTGAACAAGACCTGTCTTTCTGGAGGTTTTCCAGGTTTCACTGCTTTACCGGGTTCCCACGATGTACAGGCCTCCATCAGAGATGAGGATGTGTCACAGCAACACGGGACAAGGGAAAGTCCCAAAATAACACAGGTGGTCAGACACTAAACACGCATGCACCCACTTTATTGACGTAGACTGCAGAGCTCTTGAACCTTGTAGCCAATTAATAATCCAAACACTTAGGAACGTCTCAGGGACTGAACTGAAAGGCTCTTCCTGTTACTTTAAAGAGAACGAGAGGAGGACAGGAGAACACCATTATTTATCAAAAAAGGCCATGGAGAATGCCCCTGCATCATCTCAGTCTCACAGCTCCCCTCTTCCTTCTGACTTTCTTCCAAGATCTTCCATGATTTGCTCCAGGTCCAGGTCAGTGGATGCTTCATCTTCAAGGCAGACACTTCCAGTTTCCAGAATCAGTGGCTCTTGCGGTCTAGACTTTTCTTTCCTCTCCAAAGGAGAGGCCTCATGATGAGCTGGTGGGGTGAGGCCCTTTGGCACAATTCTAACTTCTTTTTCTTCAGACAGGATGACGACTGAGGTCTTGCTTTGGGGAACTTGAAATTTTTTCTTAGGTCCTAAATGAAAAAGGAACAAAGTTGAGAGTCCCACTGATCAGTCTATCCTGACTCTAAGTCAAATTCCTGTGCTCACTTTGGCAGCGCATATTCTAAGTCAAATTCCTAAATCCCTATGCTAGTAAAATCTCTGGAAAAGGTGACCTTTTTCAGTATACAAAATATGGGCTTTTGGGTCAGAAAGACTTAGATTCAAGCCATGAATCAGCCACATGCTCAACATGGGCCTTAAATTTTAAACTCTCTAAGCACTGGTTGTCTTATATTTAAAATGTCAATCATCCAGTCACAGAGCGACTGAAAGAATTAGAAGGAACAAGCATGACATATCTAGCCAGCCATGGCAAAACCCAACAAACATTCTCTCTTCCCTGCCATTCTCCCATCCCTGGACTCAATCAAATCGATAACCATTATGTTTCAATCATGTGTGCTGGGTACAATCCAAGACATGCCCTTTTTATTCTGAATTTCATGCTTTCTTCAAAGTAATGAAAAGCTATAGGAATGTTCAGAAATGAACCAGGGAGAGGAGATACAGACATGGACCTCATTTCCTCCTAACTTTTTAGACACTGAGCCTTACCTGGCTGGTCCAGATCTGGATTCCGTTCCCCTTCTTTCATTTCCATTACGGGTACAGTGGGCACTGTGGATTCACTGTCCAGACGTCTCTTGGTTACCTTCTTTTTCAGGATCTTGTCTTGTCCATCTGCCATGTCTGCATCACCTCCATGCCCCAAACATAAAGAAAATATATTTCTCTCTAAATGACACCTTGGCAAAGGTAGGTCCCCCTACATTTAGTCTCTGTGCTGCTCATTCTCAATCTAGTGAGTGCTCTCAGTGGTTCAGAGTTTCCCAACTATCTTGATTTTTTTTTAATCCCTAGATCTTCTCTTTCTCTTTAAGATTCTCCCTTCTCCAGGAAGTTGTCCTTCCTGGCTAAGAATTTAAAACCCTGCAACTATAACCTAAGGTTTCATAAAACACAGCCAGGCACAGTGGCACTTGCCTGCAATCCCATAATTCCAGGAGGCTGAGGCAGGATGATCACAGGCTCAAGCCCAGCCTGGGCCAACTTTAATAAGTTAGAGATTCTGTCTCAAAACTTTTAAAAACACCACAAAAGGCCTGGGGATCTACCTCAGTGCAAAGGTCCTTAGTTCAATCTCTAGTACAGCAAAACTGTCTTTTTCTTTTTCTCTTTCTTTCTTTCCTTTCTCTCTCTCTCTCTTTCTTTAAATGAGGCTACAACTTCCTCTCTAACACTATCAGCTAGTCTTGCCTGTTTTTTCAGGTCTGGAGCTGACACAATCAGTGAGGTCCAACTACTTGCAGATCCCCTTATACTCTCTGCCTCCACCTGCCTTAACTGTGTGACAGCTCCCATTTCCAGGTGGCTTGCTTACCTCTTAGCTTGGGGTTTTTAGTCTTTATCTTAGCTGACTTGGGACCAGGCAAAGTTGGATTCTGTGGATGGGAGAGGATTTTTTTATAAAGATAAACTGAAGGTCGGGGATTTAGCTCAGTGGTTCTGCTGCCTGCCTCACAAATACAAGGTCCCAAGTTTGATCCCCAGTACCAAAAAAAAAAAAAAAAAAAAACAAATGGATAAATTTGAGTCATTTGTAGAGAAAAGGGTACAATAAAGTAATGGGTGGGCTAATTCTTGTGAGCCTGATACTGTCTAATGTGTGGAAACACAAAGAAAATGTGTGATGATCTTCCCATTCCATTTAGTATTAGTGCATAAAAGAAAATAAAAGTAGGCTACATGCATGATAAGAATAGGTATGTTAAAAGAGAAAGTCAAAAATCTGTATTTCATATTCTTGCAAAAGAGACGCAAAGAAAATGAGTGAGTGAATATCCTGTGTCCACATGAGGAAGCAAGGTGTAGACAGAAGCAATCTGCTGTTCTCCAAAACTGCTCCAGGTAGAACCAAAGAAATACAGTAGAAACTGAGATTACAATCAGGAATTTCTGAGAGATGAGAAATTCAGAGAATGGGGAAGAGGAGAGCCTCCTTCCCTGGAGACCCCTAAGAGATAAGACCAACTGGTCGGGTCACCCCAAGGCAGGGACAGGACAGCCCAAAGTAAATTTAAATCCATGCTAACCAGACCCTTACAGGAACCTCTTATAAGGAACTCCAAGATCTTGATCTAAACCAACACTTACAGCTATATCTTACTTTTTTCTCTTTCTCTTCCTTCTCTAACTCTTCCTCCTCTTCTTTCTCCATGTAGGACTTGGGGCTGTTAGCCCCAGGCAGTGTTAAGTCTAGAAGAGAGAAAGAAAAGGCTAATTTATGCTCTCAAATAGTTGATGAGTTAATGGAACAAATTCCAGAGAATCCATCTTCTAACTCCACCTTCAGGGTCCAAGTACTATTTTTCCATAAAACATGTTCCCAGATTATCATGATGCCACCCTTTTCCAAGTCCATCACTATTTACACACATCCTACCCTCTCTTCTCACCCTTCCCCCCATTCCTGACTCCAGCCATCCATCCATCCTGAATACTCAATCAATCAATGACATTCATAAAAGCCTCTCATTATAGAATCCAGAACTAGGCTGCTGCCAAGGAAAATAAAGCAAAGAAAACTTGGACTGTTGCCTTCAGGGAAGAATCCCTCCCCTCCCTCTCCAGTCCTCATCCTTCACTTCTACCTCTTCTTTCTTCATTGCTGTCAGATCCACAGTATCGGCTCCAGAAACCAAACAAGTTAACCCGGTCCTGAGGGAACCAAGAAACAAAAGCATCATCCTCTATCCTCCCAGGAGGAACATTTGCCCTGTCTTCCAGATTTTAGTTATAACAAAATTCGTGAGGGCCAGGGATGTAGCTCAGTGGTGCCACGCCTGCCTGGGTCCTGAGTTCAATCTCTGGTACTGAAAAGAAAATTTGTATTCATTTTCCATACCATTTTCATCTGAAATATCCACATTAGCCTTATCTGCACTTTTGCAGAGATTAGTTACAATCTTTTTCTGGTTTAATTCATGATTCAACAAATAACTGGGAAAAAGAAATTCACAAGTTTGTCATTTTCCTTTCCAGCCCCCCATCCTATGAGTAGAAACTGAGGGTAAAAACTGACTGAATAAAAGGGAAAGTGGGGTGCATATAACTGAGACATGAAGTTAAACAGGGAGGTATGATGTCCCCTACCACAAACTGTGTTTGGGCCAAGAGACGATTCCTCCTGTTCAAGGGTGGGGAAAGGAATGGGTGACTTAAGGAGTCAGGGGAATCTGGAAGAATGTGAAAGAAAGGGCAGTTCTAAAATAGGCTGCACAGTGGGGAAAGACAATCGATTTTTTCGGGGATCGAACTCGGGTCCTTGCACTTGCAAGGCAGGCGCTGGAACCACTGAGCTAAATCCCCCGCCCTGACAATCGGTTTTTTTGCAGTGGGGAGTGCTCAGTGTGTTGTGTCCCAGCCCTGAAGAGAAGCAGTTAGGTGGTCTGAACACTCTGCCACCTGAATGCCAGTCTGCTGTGCTTTGTGAGCCATTATTATGGCTACTTCTAGTTTCTGGATGTAGTCCTTGTTCCTGCACTTTTTCTGAAATGGAAGAAGATTAGAGTCAATGACAAATACTGCCTCAAAGATTAATCCATAATAAATACTAGAGACGTGACCTCAACATACTGCCACCCACTGGACATGATCCTAACTATATTTGTTTCCAGTTCCTAGTAGTGATGGGCTGCTCAGTCTTCTGGGTTTTGATACAGCACTCCCCTTCTCCCTCATAAACCTCTCACCAATTCCTAGCAATTTTCAGCCAACATTTTGATGTCCTCTCCAAAATAAATCCAGTGAGAATTTGAGAAAAAATAAAAACAGACTGAAGGAGTTCAGGTAACTCCACATTTTTAAGTTTCTTTAAATCCAGCTGCATGATGTCATCTTTACTGCTTAATTTTCTAAGGTCCTGGAACTGCTGGGCTTCTTTGCTCATTTTAAAGCTAGTCAAAACCAGGGCCGGGGATTTAGCTCAGTGGCACCGCGCCTGCCACACAAGTGCAAGATCCTGAGTTGGATCCCTGGTACCAAAAAAAAACCCCAAAAAACCCAAAGTGACTACAGAGAGGAAATATGGTTTAGTTAATCCAGTGTCCCTCAACCAGGGGAGACTCTGTCCCCCAGAAAGCATCTGGGAATGTCTGGAGACAATTTTTGGTTGTCACAACTAGGAGCAGGGTACAGGGAAAAGGGTAGGGGATGTCACTGGCAAGATGCCAGCAGAGCCCAGGGAAGCTGTTAAAAATCCTCCAGTGAAGCCAGGCATGGTGGCGTGTGCCTGTACACTCAGCACTTGGGAGGCTGAGACAGTAGGATTGCTGTGAGTTTGGGTTCAGCCTGGGCTACAGAGTGGGCTCAAGACCAGCCTGAATTACAGAGTAAGACTCTATCTCAAAAAAAAAATCCTATAATGTACAGGAAAGCACTACAGCAAAGGATTACTTTGCCCAAAATGTTTATAGTGCTCAGACTGAGAAACTCTAAATTAATCTGGGCCCTTGTGTCTGCTACTTCCGGTTTGGCTCTACTATAGAAAACTTTCATCTTTAAAAGCCCCCCTTAAAGCTTTGTAAATAAGTAGGGGAAGAGGGGTTAAAGGGAGGGAAGGAGACTGGGGGGAAAAAAGAATCAAGATACATTACGTATAGGTAGACATTCCATATGATGAATGTGAACATTATCATTATGCATATCTAAAGTATACCAATAAAATTAATTTTTTAAAAACTCCCCTATCTGCAGCCAGGTAAGGAGACTGAAATTATGACCTCACTGCAACCCTGGTAGAAAGAAGAGTCCCTCATGAGTAACTCAGCCCTGGCACACCTGGTCAGACATAGTACTTTCTCCCAACAGTTCCCCCTGGGAGCAGACTGGGTTTAATAAAGGAGATATTTTCTTTCCCAGGTCCCTGTATCACAACAGACTCCCAAGGTTTGCTCACCACTCCTGTTTGCTCCAGGAATAGCTCTTGGAAATTCTTTAGCATGTTCACTGGAATCCAAGCACGAGAAACTGTTTTTCCAAAAAATGTCACATGGTACTTAGACTGCAATAAAAGATATGGTCATTATGGCTCCTGTCCTTCTCCCTGCTTTTCTCCTCTTGCCAGAAAAGGTAGAAGATAGAGTGAATCATAAAAAAGTGCTTAGCCTCATATGCTCCCGGAAGCCTGACTTAACCACCTCACCTCATTTTACTGTTCCATTCTGACCTCAGGGATGCCAATTATCAAAATCCTAGCATAATTATCAAAACCAAAAATGTCCTACTAATGGATATTTAATTAGATTCAATTTCAGTTCTATGTGTGAGTACTTACCTCCATGTTTGTCACTCTAGCTAAGTATCTATTTCCACTTGTGTATGCTGGCTATGCCTGTTTCTAACTCTAAACATCTCTTAGGATGAACATGTTCATTACTTTGGCTTGAAACAGGAAACTCACCGGCATAGAATCAAGATGAGAAGCAAAAAGAAAATATTCCCCCAGGTCAGGATCAGATTCTATCATGCCTGGCCACCTGAAGAAGATAGGTGGGCATAGGAGATGGAAGGGGAGGGGTTAGGTGAACAGAATACAACCTCATCAATACACATGCACAGAAAAGGGTGATGTACCCTGTGGATCAAAGATTCAAAACACATATCCCCCAGGTTAGTCCCTTCCAGTGGCCACTACCAAATGATTAAAGTGACTTCCATCAGTCCTTATTTGCTTTCCTTTGCATGACTCCCACATCTCAATTTTATAATGCCTTGGTCTACTCTTCTTTTCCTAGCCAATTATGGCAGCACAGTCAGACTTTCTTTTCCAGAAAGATACCTCACTCTGAAACCTCCAGAAAACATACTTTATTAAAGCCTCCAAACTAGGTATTGTTTCTCTCTCACCCCATGTTCTTTCTAAGGCAAGTACTGTCTCCATTACAAATGCTTCCCGCCAGGGATTTAGCTCAGTGCATCTGCCGCCTGCCTCACAAGTGGAAGGTCCCGAGTTCAATCCCCGGTATCAAAAAAAAAAAAAAAAAATCAATGGGCCGGGGATTTAGCTCAGTGGTTCCGTCACCTGCCTCGCAAGCGCAAGAACCCAAGTTCCATCCCCGGTACAAACAAAACAAAACAAAAAAAACACAAATGCTTTCCATTTCCTTCCCTCCCTGCTTGAATCCATCATTCCCAGGTTCGGAAAGGATGCTCCGACTATGTCATGGTTCCCTACCAGGGGTAACCATATTGCTTGGCCCAGACGATGGATCCTGGGACATAGGAGGCATAGACCACTTCACTCTCACGCCCTGTCCAGGTCTCCTCAGGAATATCACAGCAATTATAATTCAAGTCTGCCAAAAGAGAGAAAGAATGAAGGAACATGAAGAGACCCATAAGTAAAAATCTAGACACAGCCTGGGAGAGGACAAAAGGAGGGTGGGTACAGGTGACAGGTGGCATCAAAGGGCACCTGGGGAAGAACAGACCCATGGAGGAACTGCAGAAGTAGGAGTGCTGCCTGCTATTTCTTTATAGAGATTCCAACCTCTTGCTTACATCCCACAGTGTGACTCTGGTCCCAGCTGTGGAGCAGAATAGGGGTAATTTCTCTGAGACTGCTCTCTCATCTGTAAAATAAATGTGCTGGATAAGGTCATTATAATGTCTTTCAAGTAAGTTTTAAACATTCTATAATTCTAAGCTCATTGGGTGTTTCTTACCTGGTTTTCCTCCTCTATCTCACATCCCTCCCTGTCCACCAGCCAATACCACTATTTTAATCAGGACAGGATTAGACCAGTTTTGAAGAAAATGGAATTCACTTAGTACTGTACATATATTCAGATTCCAGGTCCCTCCCCATACTATAACTCTGCATGGTGTCTTCCTCCTACCCTTATTCCCAGATTTATCTCTACAGGACAGGAAGATCCTTCCTTTCTCCCAGGTATTACAAGGACCCCTTGAATGCTAACTACACTTCTATCATACTTAACTAAAGAATGCATGCAGGAGGAAAAAAGAGGAACAATAAAAACTGAAAGAAAAAAAAACTTCACCACTTCTTTTTACCTGTATTCTGGTGACAGAACCAATTGTCTGGGAGAACTGAGGGGTCCATATTCTTACACAGCTGCCTCCATTTTTTACAGTTTGGAGAGGAACACTGAACCCAGACTATACAAGGACCTATGACAGGAAAAAAAACTGAAGTAAGAGACTTTTAAATATGCTCTTTCTTCAATCCAACTAAAATCAATATAACTTTCTCACCTACCCACAGAATCACATCTCTACACAGTGCTTGCATGTCAACTAGTCCAATCTCTGAATTAAAAATAACAAAAGCAAGGCTCAAAGAAGATAATGACTTGCTCAGGATCAGTTCACTTGGTGACAGAGCTGACCTTAGAGTTTAAGTCACACATCTTGATCTTCCCTCTGTACAACGCAGAAATGACTATTTTCTATAATAACAGTCATTAAATTAAAAAGCTGCCTTAGGGTTGAGGCTTTAGCTCAGTGGTAGAGTGTGTACCCAGTATGTGCACATGTGCAGTCCTAAATTCCACTCTCAGTGTGGTAAAAAATCCTAACATCTTTCCAGATAGTCCCTTAATCATTCTCTGATGGCATGATACTACTGAAAAGTTCTTTTGAAGGGCTAATAAGAATCTATTGGTGCACAATATCCACAGTTCTTATCTGAATCTCAACCATTTACCTATTTACCAAGTTGCAACATTTAGGACCAACAGCCCTGGGTTCATCTTCCTCCAAAAAACCCAGGTGTCTAAGTCTAGCGTTTTTCCACCAACCATTTATTTTGAGCCCCACTCAAAGGCAAAGCCTTCCTTTTATCCATTATCTTCCAAACCTCCACCTCTAACTCTGTATTCCCACATCTTCTAAACTGACCCCGTGTCCCACAAGGCCTCTCCTCTCCCTCCCAAACTCTTCCAATGTATTCTGTGAAGATCCAGACTTGAATAATTAACACCTAAGTATGCTCAACCTCCTCTGATCCTCTATCTCCTTTTTGAAACCTGAAGACCCACACATGACATTGTCCCCAACCAACCCCACCCCAGCCCTCCAAGTGGAGTCTGCTCCTTCTCACACCCCATATGTCAGGCAGAAAGTGAGGCCACATCCTTACTTCCATTGTCACTACTCCTCTCCCTTTTATAAAAACCCTTTCCTTTGAGATCCATGCCGTGGGACTCTACCACCCTTGTATCTCCCCCATAAAGATGCTGGCATCCAGCTTGGTTTCCTCCTCCTCTGCACCTTCAGCCTTCAGTCTAGATGACCACATCCACAGAAATAACTCATAAAGCCCCCTATTCTCTCAGTTCCATGAACTTTTCCTTCATGCCACCTCAGCAATGCACTCACACACCAATGTGCCCCAACCAGTCTTCTGCTGGATCACACACCCTCTGAGTCACTTACCCAAACACCCTCTCTGATAAAAATGCCTTATCCTCCCACCTCATTTGTTCACAAGTTGCCCTGCAACTTTCACTTCATCTTACTCTCCAATCTGTTGGCCCCTCCAGTCCTCGCCACCTCTGTTCTTCACTCTGACCAATCAGCTTTGAATCTATGACTCTTCCAGATACCTCAACTCCCTTCCCTTCTGTCCTTTCTTCCACTGACATGAGAGGGGCAAAACTCCACCCTATATGAACCCACATGCTTACACTGATGCAAATAAGAGTTGTTAGAAAAAAAATTACTTAACCAGGTACAAATGTATCACTATATATTCAGTTAATATCATCAACCAATGTATTTCTTCAGTTTCTCTTGTTTCCCACTGTCAAATTTTACCTTAAGTGCTTGAACACAGGGGATGACCCCCATCCCACCAAAACCATCCCTCAGAAAACAAGGCAACATATATATATATATATTTTTTTTTTTTTTTTGGTACCGGAAATCAAACTTGGGTCTTTGCGCTTGCGCAGCAGGCCGTGAAACCACTGAGCTAAATCCCCAGCCCATTATATTTAAGTCCTTAAAATAGCACATACTATGGGTTACTTTCCCAATTACTTTGACTTAAGAACAAAGTACTGGTTGGGAATATTAGACCATATAGTATAGAAATGACCACTGCCAATGATAGTTTTGGATATTTATAGAGGTGACCTAGCAAGACTAGAAAAAAAAAAACTGCAGGTGCAGGAGCTGGGGACCACAAAAGTTAATACAGATCAAAAAATAAATGGTTTATTATGAAAGCAATGACTATTTATAAGAAAATAAATGAAAAGATATCATCCTAGTGATATAGAACTGGTTGTTTATGGCTTGAGATAAAATTTCCAGTGACAGGATCATACAGATTTTACAGGGTTTTTTTTAATTAAAAAACTGTACTTACTTAGAAGCATTCAGAATGTCAAAAAAGAGCTGCAACTTTTTTTTTGCAATTGAATAGTATTCAGTTAACAGAACAATTATTTTGTATACACTGCATCAAAGACAACTAAAGATGAAAAACTATTGTCCCCACATATAACTCATTTGTGCTGTGCACCAACAAGAACCTGCTTTAAATTTCCATGCCAATAAACCCTCATACTGTATCAGGCAAGGTTGGTGGCTACTGAAAACATCACCAGGATGGGGCTATGTCAACTACACACACAAAAAAGATACTGTGGAGTTTAAAAACAAATCTTACATAGCCTCAATTTTTAATTTTTTTTCTTTAAAAGGAATGAGTTGTGTACAGGGGGTTAAATGCTTTATAGACAAGAAAGAAAAAAAACCCTGTGCTAAAACCAAATTATTCATCATCTTCCTCCTGTTCCTTCTTTTTCTTGTTTTCAGCCTTGACAACTCCCTCTTTTGCTGCATCAGGTTTTACTTCAGCTGGGTAGGCAATGATGTCCTTTCTATATTTTTCCTTCAATTTAGCAGTCTTCTCTTCGTATGCTTGTTCGTCTCTGCAGCAGTGTTATTCCACGTCTCTCACAGTTTCTTTGTGATGTAACAAAGATAGGACAGGATGTTCTCCTTTGATTTTGAGCAATGCTCAGAATAGAACAGGGCCGGAGGTGGCTTCTTGGGTACACTGGGATCCCTGAACTTCTTTTCTGTTTCCCCTTTAGGAGGAATATAGGTTTTCATTTCTATTTCATAATGGGCCTTGTCTGCCTTTGCCATGTCTTCAAGTTTTCCTTTCTCTTTAGTAGACATGGTCTTTCACCTCTCTGAGCACTTCTTAGAAAACTCTGAGAAGTTGACGGGAGCATTTGGGTGCTTCTTCTTGTGCTCCTTCTAGCAAGTTTCCACAAAGAATGCACATGATGACATTTCACCCCCCAGGCTCCTTTGCCCATGTTTACTTCACTTTTCCCTAAGGAGCCACAGAGTTGCCCAGCGCCCGCCTGGCTCTCACTTGCCCTGGTGCTGTCTGTATGGAGCTCATTGTACTGAATGGCTGTGAGAGCAGGACCCAGATGCAGCCTAAAAATATTTTTTTAAAGGTTCCTTTCCCTCTTAAAAAACTGGAAAACTGACTATCATTATGTGTGTGGTTCTGTGATAATGAAGACTGATGTCATAAATATATATTAGAGAACGTTTCAGTTTACTCATTCCTGAAACACTCGTTTCTTGGGTTCTGTGATATCTTATTTTTCTGTCCTCTCTCATCTTTCTGGCAGCTTTCTCCTCAGTTTCCTTTGCTAGATTCTCTTTATTTTCCATCCAGACTCTAAGGGTCAGGGTTCTCCGCCCCAATCAAGGGCCTTCTCTCTTTATACTTTTTCCTAATGCAGAACTATTCCTATAGTTTTGAAATCCATTTTCATACCTCACAGCACACAGCTGTATACTTCTAGACTCTGTTCTGAGTTCCAAATGCACTTTGCTATTTTATTTTATCTCAGTATTGGAGATAGAACCTATGCTGGAGATAGATACATGCTAGGCAAGTGCTCTATCACTGAGCTACAACTCCAGCCTGTTTGTTTTGTCTTGCTGAGTTGCTCAAACTGGGCTCAAACTTGTGCTCCTCCTACCCCAGTCTCCCTTAGTCCTGGCATTACAGATTTGCACCAGCACACCCAGCCTGCCTTGCTTTCATATCTCTATTTTTTGTTTGTTTGTGGTGCTGGGGATTGAATCCAGGGTCTCATGCATACTAAGCAAGTGCTAAGCACATGCTCTATCACAGAGCTACATTCCCAGCCCTGACATCTCTAGTTTGGTGATTTCACATCTCAATTAGTTATCTGGATCTCATATTCAATGTGCCCAAACTTGAATGGGTAGTCATATTCCACAAATGTGTTCTTCTACTCTTTCTGCTTAAATCAGAAACTAATCATCTTTGACAAATCCTGTTCTCTCCATTGCCCAATATCCCATTTATTACCAAGTTCTGACAATTTTATCTCCAAAACCATCCACTTTTCTATTTTCATCACTTTAACCCAAGCCACCAAAACACCTAGTCCTAGTCCTAATTTATGATCCTAGCACAAATCTTTCAACTCTTCCCTGAATACTCCATTCTTCAGTTAATCCCCAAAGGATCATCTGAAAATATGAATTTGATGACCTTATTTCCTAGTTAAAATCCACCAATGGCTTCCCACTTGTGCTCTGTAGCATTTCCTTTGATCAAGCTACTGCCTACCTCTATTTTCCTAGAGCTACTTTCCCAAATGGCTCCCCTTGCTCTCTGAACTCTGATCACACAGGCTTTCTTTTAGTATGTCAAACTTTATCCCACCTCAAACTCTTTCCATCTGTAATCCTAGCCTCAGGAGGCTGAGGCAAGAGGTTGGCTGAGGCCAACCTGAGCTACACAGTGAGTTCAAGGCCAGCCTGAACTACATAGCGAGACTCTGTCTCAAAAAACAAATTTAAAAAAACCTCTCTCCTACTCTTCACTTGGATAACTTCTACTCTTCCTTTAGGTTTCAGCTAAAATAAGATCTTAGAAAAGCATTCCCTGACTGGTCCAATTTTACTTATTCTTCATTATTTCCTCTCATGACATTCTGTTCTTTCCCTTCACAGTGCTTAATGTAAATTGTATTTAATGGATACAGTTGTTTCTATTTCCTATTTCAAGACAACTCTCCTGGGCTTGGCAATTGTGAGAAATAGGAAGAATGGTTCGTTGATAGTAAGAGGCTGACAAATTCACGGCAATCGTAATTCAACTCGCAAGCGCCACCTAGGGAATGAACTCCCATCTGCTAACCTAAAGCCTAGTCCTTAGGGGAAAGGTACAATACAGGTGATCAGGCAATATAAACCTAATGACACAAGTTTATTTGAGCTAACTTGAGATGTCTGAAGTATTCCAAAAGTTCTCAACAGGAACATCTGAGTTTACATATTCTCATAAAACCAAAAGTAAAAACTTTTTAGTTTTCTTTTCTAGAAAAGAACCTATCTAGAACATTCCTTAGAGTATCTCAGCTTCCAACCACCTTACTGTCCAAATTATACTTCTAGCTCCTTATGTTACCATGTCATTTTAATAAGAGGAATTGTTTACTGACCTGGACTACCGTGTTTGGTGCCTAACTATCCATTTGAGAGTTTTCTTCCAAGGATGTGCAAATCATATTATGCTTTTAATATATGTATATATAGATATAGATATATGATACTAACTGCTGTTTTATTCCACTGTTCCTTATTCTTTTTTGGGTTTTGTTTTTACTATCATTTTTCATTGTGGGATTTTTTTGGGTGCAAGGCTGTTTTTGACCAGATTATTATCTATTAATTTTTGAACTTACTAATATAAGATCTACTTCTTGTCATAAAATGTCCCAATGTCATCTTATTTCATATATTTATTATCTGCTATCATTTTTTTTTTTGGTACCGGGGATCGAACTCGGGACCTTGCACTTGCAAGGCAGGTGGCAGAACCACTGAGCTAAATCCCCAGCCCTTATTTATCTGTTTAGTATACTAAACTGTAAATTCTACAAAGGAAGGACTATCAAATTTGCTCATCACTATATTTCTAGCAACCAGTGCAATACCTAGTACAATACTAACTATTGTTAGAATAGTAAGCTGGTGACATAGCTCAGTGGTAGAGCCCTGGATTCAAAACCCAGCACCAAAGGAAAAAGAAAAAGCAAACCAATGAATAAGTGAATCCATATACAGTGTATCCTTACACTCCCACCACTCAGTCTTCACAGCTAAAGTGTCCTTTCTTCTGAGGAAAATAAAATCTCTGAATCTCTTCCCATTTCTATTTCTTCAATCTTTTCCTCTATTTCCCGTGACATATAAGTATACCCAAATTGCTCTTTTTTCACTCTCTTATATTATTATTTTATTTTCAGTGTGGTGGGTGGAACCTAGTGCCTTGCACATGCTAGGCAAGCATTCTACCCATCTACACCACCAGCCCTCTCTCTTTTTTTTTTTTTTTGGTACCAGAGATCGAACTCGGGACCTTGTGCTTGCATGGCAGGCGGCGGAACCACTGAGCTAAATCCCCGGCCCCCAGCCCTCTCTCTTTTAAAAGAAAATTATAAGAAAATAATTCTCTCCCACAACTCTCCACTCATTCCCTTTCATGTACCATTTTCTTCCTCTTTCTTTTCACATCTAGACTAATTGAAAGTATTTACCCTTCAACTAATTACATTTACCCTTGCCAAACCACGTAGTAGCTATAACCAAGACCCTAATAACTTCCTAATTGTGATATCCTTGAGCATTTTCAAATCACTATCCTCTTTGGCTTTTCTAGGCTAACATATGAGATGGCTGGCCACTCCATCTTTCTTAAAATCTCTCTTCTCCTGCCATCTGTGACTGCACACTCCTCATTTTTCTACTACTTTTCAAGTCTCATCTTAGTTGTTTTCCTGGGCACCATCTAGAACATCTGGTACATGGTAAGATATCCAGTAACTATGGATTATGTGAATAAATGACTGAATAGATAAAATATTTCTCCCTCTTCCTCAGCAATATATCCTCTAACAAGTGTGAAAGATAAATTATAGAATTTGCAGAGTTTTCTCTAATATTTTAACCCTTGCTTCTGTCTTTGTCTCAACTTTACAGTCTAACTCAGTTTTCCAAACCATGGCTGAACTCACCAAAACCACTTCCCTTTCTTTTTTTTGGTACCAGGGATCAAACTCGGGACCTTGTGCTTATGAGGCAGCGGAACCACTGAGCTAAATCCCTGGCCCCCTTTTCTTTTTTTCTGGACCCTGGTCTGAGAACGATTCTGAATCATGTTATTCAGTTGGTCTGTCTGTCTGTCCTCATGTCCACCTTGGGTTGTTTCCATTTTTTCATCTTCTGGGAAGGTAAAGCAAAACATGGTAAAGTGGAGAGATGAATAAAATCTTTACTGCCAGGGGCTGGGGATTTAGCTCAGTGATTCCGCGCATGCCTCACAAGCACAAGGACTGGAGTTCAATCCCTGGTACCAAAAAAAAAAAAAATTTATAGGCAGGTAAAAGAAGAAGAATCAAACAGTTACAAACAGTTGTAAGCTCTGAGCTGAAATTTCTCAGCCTGCTCTTTATCCTATTCCTTAATTCCTGAAGTAAGTACTTGAGCCAGACATCAATGTGTATTTAACTATACTTACGAGCTTCCTTCTTTCTTTTGCTTAAGTAGAGTCTATTAAGTTTCTTCTCAGAGGGTGCAAGAATTGCCTGGCCTGGCTCAGATGGCCTTATCTCAGGGGTAACTTCATCTTCCAGAGAAGCTGAAATCTCTGGCACCTGAGGTACCATTACTCTCTCCCTAAAAATGATATATTTTAAATGAAAAGTTAAAAGGGAGAAATATCAGTACCAATCTTTCAAAAGAACCCAAAGGTAAGACAGAAGAATTCTAGGCTTTGGGCTGGGGGAATAGTTCAGTACATGCTTAGCAATCACTAGGTCCAAATTCAATCCCTAGCAACAAAAAGAAAAAAATTCTAGGCTCACTAAGGCCTCCTGAGGTCATTTTACCCATCTACTTGCCCATTTTTCCCCCAGCCCAGTTATCTTTCTTAAGCTGAAGGGCTGGGGATTTAGCTCAGTGGTTCTGCCACCGGCCTTGTAAGCACAAGGTCCTGAGTTCAATCCCCAGTACCAAAAAAAAAAAAAGAAATCTTTCTTGAGCTGAGAGAAATCAATAGAAATATGACAAATAAACAGATCACCATTTACAAATGATAAGTCTGCCCTGTGTTCTACAAGCCACTCTGGGATCAACTTACCCACTGGCATTATCATTATCAGTAGCAGCAGAAGCAGCAATTCCTACTTCTTTGTCTGAGTGGATACACACTGTAGGGTTTACGCAGGAAGTCTCTGCAAAATTAAGGCCAGATCCCATCCCTCCCAAAACAACATATTATAAGCAAAGAAGCATAAAAAGAAAACAACTACAGCACTCCAATATCTTCTACTCTTCCCTGTTGCCTGAAAGAGCCTACCTATGGCCTCTTATCAGATGATAGAACCTTTAGTCTTTAAAGTTTCAGGAAAAACTAAAAACTAGATCTTTCTGTAAGCCTTTCCTGATTGATCTTCCTCATTCCATGACAGCCAGATAATGATAATTTTATTTTGTATATATAAAAAATTGTATGCTCTGCACTGCATATCATTTTTCTTCAAACTCCTCCGAGGAATAAAAGTACAAAAGAATGACTGAGATGTCAGATCACTCTACTTGGCCTTATGACCTTATGGAGAAGGTCTCAGGGCCCATACTGAACAGTTCTTTATTTTAAAAAATAAAATCCCTGAGTAGATGTTAAATCAGTTATTAAACACATAAATATACAAGAATAGATGGAGACTAAGTTCTTCATATCTGGGAAGCAATTTATCTTTTCTAAGTAGATTGTAAAAATATAAAAATAAATTCAAATTACATTAAAGACTGAGGTGAGACTATATTTACTCTGAAGTCAATGTACTCTATTTCTAAAACTCTATACCCTTTATCTAAGGTGATTTAGCTACAATCCTATTCACTGATCTCTATTTATAGAGGATGAAGTATTTCAAAGTTTCATCTAATATTTCCTTACTTAGTATAAAGCTTTTTTTTTTGGTACCGGGGATCGAACTCGGGTCCTTGCGCTTGCGTAGCAGGCGTCAAAACCACTGAGCTAAATCCTGGGTCCTATTTCCTTACTTAGGAAGTTGGAAGAGAAGGAGAGAAGCTGTCAAACTTACACTCCCCCTCTTACAACATTCACTTTGCCTAACTGAAATCTTTTCTCTCTCACTACAAGCCATACCCAAGCACTCCTTGAGGGACTTGCGTAGCACAATCTGGACAATCTCCTCAAATTCTGCATTGGTAAGAATTAATTTTTCCTGCAAAGACAAGGGTAAGAAAGAAAAACTGCTGATTTTTTCATCGTTATCTCCTCTGTTGCAGCAGGAGGTTCACGGACTAAAAGCATAAAGTCAATATACCTAAGGACACCATAACCTTTATCCCAGATCTCCTGGGAATGAAGGACTCAAAGGAAAGGAAACCATTTATAAAGTCTCTGTCTACTTCTACTCCCATCTCTACCCCACCTCATCCCATCATTTCTGGCTAAATGCTTTCATTGAAAACATTTTTTGTCTGAGAATAAAACAGAAGTTCAATCAAAGGAACAAAAACTGGAAACTACAGGATCAATTTCCTCCACATGAAAAGATTCTATTTGTTTAGCCTGGGTGGGAGGCAGAGTAGGAGGAACTGTCCCATTAGAGCCTATTAATGTGACCTGTACCTTTTCATTCTTCTCTGCTGACTTATTGTCTTGAGCCTTTCTTTTCTTCCGTCCAAGACTTGGACCATTCTCTATGGCTGCCTTCTTCTCCCTCTTCCCTAGTCTGGGCTTTGGTTGGTTTGGCTTGACCTCAGCCTCTGGGGAACCAATTTCCAGAGTCTCCTTGGGTGAATCAGGGCTACAAGGTATCATGCTATGCAATTTTTGTGTAGGTGGGGCAAAGGTTTTCTTTGGTCCCTTTCCACATTCTGAAAGAAATGTTATCAGATGGAATTTATGAAAAACAGTCAAACAGTGCCCATTGACTAGGCATATCAGAATTACAAGGAAAGAGCTTTAAACAAATTCGGATTCCTATGTTTCTTCCTGCCTATTCTACCCACCTTCAGGCCTGAGATTATGATGAAGTAGTTTGGAATGAAGCCCAGAAATTTACAGTTTTATAAGAATAATTAATTCTGATAAACTGCCAGGTTTGGGAACTTCTGAGTAATTTAAAGGTGATAATTGTAAGCACATAGGAAGCTGAATTATTCAAGTGTGAAATTTTTATAATTTGCTCATTTTAACTTTGGATAACATTTTATGAGAAATTAGCTAAAAAGCTAGTCAAAATCTATAAATTATTCAAGACCCACTCTTATGCCACCTCCTCTATGAAAATTATACTGCTCCTCCGAGATATAAGTAGTATTTTATGCTTCTATAATATTTTACCTCTCTGCTAGCATTCATTACATTCAACTTCATATTATAGACGTTTAAATGTCATTTGTCTTCCCATGAGTTCATACTTTCCTTGAGCAGGATTTTTTTCTAAGCCATATTTTTTTGTACCAGGGATCAAACTCAGGTCCTTGTGCTTGCGAGGCAAGTGGCGGAACCACTGAGCTAAATCCCTGGCCCCAATAATATCTAAGCCATATTATTGTCAAAGCATCTAGCAGAGTAATAATTTGAACACAGCAGACAGAAAATATGTGCAAAGTGAACTGCCTCTTGGTGGGAAGGATGTCCAGAAGGGGAAAACGAGAAAAATGTACAAAGTAACACCCCCACCCCATTCTTGGCTTACCTTCTTTCTTCTGTAGTGTTGCCATCATTCAGCTCAGAAATGACACTTTGCCTTTGGTAGAAAATTTTAAAAAGAAATGAACTGCTATGACTCTGATTAAACATGATTTTAAATTGATCTCCCTATCTTCTTGACTTCAGGATCTCTCTTCCTGGAACCCCTAACTACATTTCTATGCCCTCTGGAATACTAAGTAAATCCCAGGAAGTAATGGGAGTTACTGTTTTAAAGATAAGCAACAACCCTTAGTGTTGTAAGTGCCTACAACCATGTCTAATGTAGGCAGGCATTCATACTTAGCTAGACACTGTACTGGGAGCAGTAATAGAAGCATAGGTAGTAATAGAGCAGTGGTAGCAGGGCGTGGACAGTCCTGGGAGTTACAGAAGGAGCATTTTCCTCCTTTCACAAAGCTTCCCTGAACACTCAGAACACAAATAACTTGCCAATTCTCTGATCTAATTCAGAGATCCCCACACACAGAGAACCTCCTTTTAAAATGTTTCTTTTTCCCTTTACTTAAATCCTCAGGTCAATACATTTCCCCAAATACTGGGGAAATATTTGGTAACTAGCAGAGGTCTCCAAAGAACTTAGAACCTTCTTACTCTTCTACCAGAACCTGGTAATGAGAACCTAACACCTTTGATATTCATAATTCATCTTCAGCTGGCTTACTCTCCTCGCTTCTCCTCTCTTCTCCTTTCCCCTATCAGCTAGACAGAATTTTGGATCATTATTGAGTAAACGAGATGCAGCAAATCTATAAATAGTGATGTATAACAGTTCTTCTAATCTAAGGTGAAACTGTGATAAAGAACATTACCTTTCCCTGATGAATAGAGAAGAGATATCCAGGATTTCACTTCTGTTAATTAGAGCTACTGCTCCATGTTTCAAATTAATTTTCTCTTTCCACAATACTAAAACCTGGTTCATAGAGAGAAAAAATCGACATTTAATAATATGTAAAACACCATCAACTTTCTTCTGAACAGACTCAGGGGCTCTAGGCCCAGAATTAACATTTAAACTGTTGCTTTATTTTCTTTCTTTAGATAAAAAAGAGACAGAGACAGGGGCGGGGGAGAGAGGGTCAGGCAGAGAGAGAGACAGAGAAACTGAGAGAACCAAAGGCCTTGTGGAAATACAATCCCATTAACTGGATCTTACTCACTCAAAAAAAAGGAGAGTCAAGTCTGGGAGTTTATCTCAGAGGCAAAGCACTTGTCAGGCACATTTGAGGCCTTAGGTTCAATCCCCAGCACTGAAATGGGGAGGGGTGGAGGGTTGAGAAAAAATAATTTTAAAAAATTAATGACAGGTGAATGAGGATCTCTTAGAAAGTAGATATAGGATACTAAAACCATCATATTAATTTTGAGATGAAATTACCTAGCCCAGCCTGGTGTAGCGCATGCCTATGATCCCAGCAGTCTGGGAGGCTGAGATAGAAGTTTGAGCCCAGCCTGGGCAATTTAGCAATGACACTGTCTCAAAATAACTGGGGGGAGATTGATAGCTCAGTGTGAAGGCTAACACCAAACTAGCCCAGAGGTCCTCAAAATGTGGCCCCAAGCCCCCAGGAGTTCCTTCCTTTTTCCAACTACATATCTATAGTAAGATTTTCTCACATACTTCTACCAAACCAAGATATCACAACAGATTGAATGCAGAAACAGATGAAAATCCAGCGTTTTTTTATTAAACCAAACATGAGATTTGCAAAAATGTAAAACAATGCCATTCTTCTTGTTAGATTTTTTGTTTAGGAAAATACCTTTTATCATAAAAACATTACGCAAATATATAATGAATTTATCATTATTCCCAAATAAATACTATATATTCTTCTCAGTTTAATATTTCTATTTGTAGAGGCAGAAAGATTAATGCAACACTTGAGGGTCTGAAATAGACTTCAGCCCCGACCCCCTAAATTCTTAATATTAGTATCGAGATACAAACCACATAAAAGTTCTCTGCAGTTCTCTGGAGTCCTCTGTAAATTTTAAGAGTACAAAAGATTCAAACCAAAAGGTTAAAGATCTGATCTAGCAAAATAATTCAGTCTATGTTCCCAAAGCATTAATTACCCCTTTTAAGACTTCCACCTCTTGATCACACAATTATTCCTTCTATATTGTTCCTCCAGTTCTTAGACTAAGAAAAATAAACCCCTCAGAACTCCTTTACCAGAGACTTCCTAAGCCTCAAAAAATTTCATTAAAGGATATATTTTAACCAGGTGCCAAAAAAAAAGGGGGTGCCAGGGATTTAGCTCAGTGGTTCTGCTGCCTGCCTCTCAAGTGCAAGGTGCTGAGTTCGATCCCTGGTACAAAAAAATAAAAATAAAAACAACCAGGTGCCTCAGCACACACCTGTAATCCCACACTGAGGGAGGCTGAGGCAGGAGGATCACAAGTTCCTGAGCAACTTAGGAAGGCCCTGTCTTAAAATGGCCTGGGGATATAGATGTCTAGGATGTGTGTGTGGGGGGGGGTATATTTAAGAGCTCCTTTAAGAACAGAGTCTAGTTTTTCTTTAAGCATTAAAGTCTAATAGCATGTGAATTCCTTATTTTCATGCCTCAATTAACTAACAGCAGTGATTTTCTTTTTTCTTTGCACACACTCTCTGCTGCAAGCCTGATTTAAAACTTTTAACAAGACAAAAAATAGGTTCCAGTTACCTTTACGCTCATAACAAATTACTATCAGAAGTACTATCTGTACTAAAGTTCCCACACAGAAGCTTATACGTTCATGGTAGGGGTGGGCAGTAGCTCAGTGATGTACTGCTTGCCTAGGACCTGGATTCAATCCCTGCTACCTCAAATGAAATAATCAAGTCATAATAAACTAAAGTTCCTTGGTTCAGAATGCAAAGAAGCCCAATGATACACGCCTATCATTTTACATACTTTTTCTAGTGCCCTAGACCTCAGACCAGCCTTTCATGTGGCTTTTGCTAAAAAAGAGTGTGTCCTACCGGGCACACAATTGTAGGTGGTGCACGCCTATAATTCCAGCACTACGGGAGGCTGAGGAAGGAATGGGGATCTCAAGTTCCGCGAGACCCTATAGCAAAATAAAAATATAGCCAGCCATAGTGGTTCACGCCTGTAATTCCAGCACTCAGAAGGCTGAGGCAGGAGGACTGCTGCGAGCTCAAGGCCAGCCTCGACTACATGGCGAGTTCAAGACTAGCCTGGAAAACAGAGAGAGACCCTGTCTCAAAAAATCAAAATAATAGTAATAGTAATAAAAAGGGGGCCGGAGGCTTAGCTCAGCATGAAGGCCCTGCGTTCAATCTCCAGTACCAAAAATGAGTCCCCCTGGGCCTCCCAGACCTCGCTATCATTTTCACTCATAGGGAGTCAAGGTCTGGAACTATAAATGCCCAAATCCGCCAGGAAACCCAACGGGAGGAACCTTTGGTGGGCTCCCATTTTCCCCCTCCTCTCTCAAAACAATTCTTAGGGACCACAATTAAAATCTGACGCTTGAGTCGGAAGCCCTCACCTCCTCTGAGGGTAAAATGGCCGCTCCTTAGCCTCTCTTCCCCACCAACAACTCGCCCTGGGGTACCTTTCCTTAGCACCCCTCCGATACTGGGCTGTGTTTGTGGTGGTGAGTTGGTTAGAGGTTCTGAGAGGAAAGAGCTGGGTGTCACCCTGAAGAGAAAGTTTCTCCTTCCGAAACAGGTACCAGGATTGGCCACACCTAGCACCTTCAATCAAAGAAAAGTCAGCTACCTTCTAGGGTGAGGAGGACCTAAAGGCGGGGAGCAGCGCGAGCGATCTCGTTCTACTTTTCCCGCCACCAGCAGAAGGCGCGAGGACGCAGACAAGCTCCGCCCCCAGCGGCGTGCTCTAAGAATCCGGGAGCCTGCGCAACTGGACGCCGCTTCTGCGTTTGCAGCTGGGGCATTTCCGTCGTCTTCTGATAAATGCCCCAAGACTACAAATCCCATGATGCTTGTTGACTTCGCTTATATTTAGGCGGCAGCGAGAGCGCCTGATTATCCTGAAGTACATTTTTATTTCATTAGTTTTCCTATATACACTGGACTGCTTTTTCCTTTTTTCATGCTGAGTCCTAGTCTTCCTTCTAGTCTCTTTCATGCCTTTATTCCAATATCTTGAGACGATCTTGAGCCCAACTCGCCTCTACTGCCCTCTTAGCTAAGCTCTCAGTTGGCAGGGCGACCAAGCCACCCATCATCCCGGGGAAACAGCGTCCGTCGATTCGCTGCTTCTTCCCATTAGCCCAAGCAGTGGCCTCAAAACGGGCAGAATCCCCTTCCCCGCCCACCCTCGCTCTTATATAAGGAAGCGCCAATCCGCAGCTCGAGTTTGGAGGGCCCGTGTGCGAGCTGGTGGCGGGTGAGGGCAGCTGGGAGCGGTGGACGGGCGGGCTCGCGCGCAGAGCAGGCTCCAGGTGGTGGGTGAAGGCAGAAAGGAAAGCGTGTTGTGCCCAGGTGATCGCGATTGGGAGTGATCGCGGAGCAAGAGAACGACTCAGCCATTTCGGAGAGGAGGAAGTTGGACAACCTTAGCTGTTTTAGTGTTTATTTTTTTTAATTCAGCAGATAATATTTCCAAGGGAATGAATTTAAATGACCTATCGCATTTTACTGAGAACAGTTCGTAGGAAGACGGTCAGTACACCCTATTCCTTCCCTCCCATTGAGGTTTACCCTTGCGCTCCCTTATAGAAGCTCTGCTAAGTAGGCAGAGGAGGCGGGGGGGGTAGTGAATAATTCATGATCCCCGCCCCTTTCCCCCCCGGCAGGTCACGCCCCTCCGAGTCGCGCTGACGCACGCAGCGTGTACTAAATCTGAGGAAGAGACGTAGCACTCTCCGCCCCCAAGACGGAGGGCGGAGCATCATCTCCAGCACGTGCTGCCTCTACCCGCGCAAGCCCAAAAGGGCCACTGTGCGCAGGCGCTGCCCACTAGGGGGAGGAAGGAGGCGGGGGTAGGGAGGTTGTTGGGTTTAGAGCCGGGCGGAGACCGCTGAGACTCATTCCTCAGGAACAAGGGTCGGGTGTCAAGGAGACCTTTTCACACCAGCTCCCCGTCCCCCGCCTACGGTGGGTGGGATCGCGCGGCAGAGACAAAGGATATCAGTAGGGCCGGACATAGCTGCGAAGGGAAGTAGGCCGTCCGTTTTGGGTGGTGGGCTTCTGGTGGGGGGGTGCTGAAGGGAGGCTATATTTAAACTCCCGGAGCCGTTAAGTTGATTCGCAGTCGGATGCGCGCGCAGCAAGGGTGGTGGCAGAGTGCGCATGCGCGGTGCGGGGGCTAGAGGAACGCGCGCCAGCCGTGCGCGCTCGCGGCGGAGTGGTAGTGGTGGCGGAGAAAGGGGTCGGCGCACGCGCGGTTGAGTCCTCGGGTCGTCAGGGTCTCGCGGGCATCTTGTTTTGGTCTCGCGGGCGAGTGGGGCGCGCTTCGGGGAGGGGAAAAGCGCTTGGGCGCGAGGCGAGCGAAGCAGAGCTGCGCGCACTCGGGAAAGGGGGGAAGGGAACGCGGACCAGGAAGGGGGGGCTTAAGCCCCCGATTCCCCCATCTCTCTGTACCCTCGACTGGGACGGAATAAGGGGAGGAAATGATCGAGATGGCGGCGGAGAAGGAGCCGTTTCTGGTGCCGGCCCCGCCGCCGCCACTCAAAGATGAGTCGGGCGGAGGGGGCGGCCCCGGGGTGCAGCCGCACCGAGAGGCCGCCTCCGGGGAGCCCTGCGGCGGGACGAAGCGCGGGCCGGGCCCCTGCACACTCTCGGCGGGGTCCCATGGTTCTGGGGCCCCCACCAGTCCTCGGGGCGGCCCGGTTCAGCCGCAGCAGCGAGGGGGCGGCCCCCAAGCGCAGCCGCACGGGGAGGCCCGCCTGGCCGAGCCCCACCGGCGAGCCGCTCCCCCGGACGTGGGGGAGGAGCGCCGGGGAGGGGGCGGGACGGACCTGGGGCCCCCTGCCCCTCCTAGGCCCCGAAATGGCTACCAGCCCCATCGGCCCCCCGGGGGAGGTGGGGGCAAGAGGAGAAATAGCTGTAATGTGGGAGGAGGTGGTGGAGGCTTCAAACATCCGGCATTCAAGAGACGCCGGCGGGTGAATTCGGACTGTGACCCCGTGTTGCCCTCCAACTTCCTCCTGGGGGGTAATATCTTTGATCCCCTGAACCTGAATAGCCTCCTGGATGAGGAAGTGAGTCGTGCACTCAATGCAGAGACCCCTAAGTCATCCCCACTTCCGGCCAAGGGGCGAGATCCAGTGGAGATCCTCATCCCCAAAGATATCACTGACCCGCTTAGTCTCAATACTTGCACTGATGAGGCCCAAGTAGTTCTTGCTTCGCCACTCAAGACTGGTCGTAAGCGGCATAGACACCGGGGACAGCACCACCAACAGCAGCAGGCATCTGGAGGGAATGATAGCCACGCTGTGCTGCCCACAGCCCCCCTGACCCCCTCACTCCAAGGGGAGGGTGCCACGCAGCAGCACCAGCACCGGGGCCAGAACCGGGATGCCCCCCAACCCTATGAACTCAACACAGCCATCAACTGCAGGGATGAAGTCGTGTCTCCCCTTCCATCTGCCCTGCAGGGTCCCTCAGGCTCCCTTTCAGCCCCTCCTGCTGCCTCAGTTACCTCTGCACCCTCGTCTTCCTCCTCTCGACATCGAAAACGACGCAGGACTTCCAGCAAGTCGGAGGCAGGGGCTAGGGGTGGAGGCCAGGGTCCCAAGGAAAAGGGCCGAGGGAGTGGGGGAGGCCGCCACCACCCACTACCTGCAGCAGGCTTCAAAAAGCAGCGAAAGTTCCAGTATGGGAATTATTGCAAGTACTATGGGTACCGAAATCCTTCCTGTGAGGATGGACGCCTTCGGGTGTTGAAACCTGAGTGGTTTCAGGGCCGGGACGTCTTGGATCTGGGCTGCAATGTGGGCCATCTGACCCTGAGCATTGCCTGCAAGTGGGGCCCATCCCGAATGGTGGGGCTGGATATCGATGCCCGGCTCATCCACTCGGCCCGCCAAAATATCCGACACTACCTTTCTGAGGAGCTTCGTCTCCCACCCCAGACTTCTGAGAAGGACCCCGGGGGAGAGGGTGAAGAAGGGACTGCCACCGTCCGAAAAAGAAGCTGCTTCCCAGCCTCACTGACAGCCAGCCGGGGTCCCATTGCTGCACCCCAAGTGCCCTTGGATGAAGCAGACACATCTGTCTTCCCCAACAATGTTGTCTTCGTCACGGTAAGAGTCTGAAGGCCCTTGGAATGGGGGCCAGGTATGAAGATGAGATTGGGAAAGTGGTGGAATGGTTATGACCTGGAGGAATTTCCCTGTATCCACTCCTCACTAGGAAAACCAGCTCCTAGAGAGAAGGGTCTGGATTGGCAAGTGAGAACTTCTGCTGAGTTTCTCTTGCTCCTATAATCTAGTCATGTGGGGTCTAAGCTTGGGGCTTTAACCCTGGGGTTTTTCTTAGGATTGTAAGGGTCTCTTTCCCCAAGATAGGGATGATTCCTATAGCCCTGTTTTCTGGAGGGTGGCTGCTGCCACTCAAGAATTCAGTCCAGACAAAACCTGGCCCTAGAACCTACTGAGAGACCTGAGCGTTTGGGGTGTCAGGGAATGTCTTGGGGCTTAGGGGGGATGGGGAGGGGGAGGAAAGTCTAGGGTAGTGACAGACTTAATGTGTGGTGTCTGTCCTTTGATAGGGGCCATGTTTGTTTGCATCAGCTGCTTTCATTTCCCTAGATACAGAGATCTTTGAAGAGTCAGTTTTCAGGACCCCAACCCAGCAGCTAGGCTTTAGGTTTTCTTCATGTTGACCCTGGATAGCAGGAGGGGGGACCTAGACTCCTGTATGGAGGAAGTGCCTAGCAGCGTGCCTGTCCTCTGATTGTACATAGCTTCCCACAAAACTGTTTTTAAGCTATCTGCAGGAATGTCTGCCAGTGTGTTGGTTAAGCCTGAAAAAAGGACATTCCAGAGGGTAATGGTGAGCTTATCATCTAGAAAAGGTTTCCTGTGGGATGTGGCTCTTCATTTCATAGAAAGCAAAGAATACGCCTGAAACTGCCCACCCCAAGGACCCATGGGTCTCCTTTACCTGGGGTAGGTCCCCTTATATAACATTGACTGCCTCATGTCTTGTGTGTGGGAGCACCCCAGCATTCTCTGTTGTTTGACCCTAGCTGAGAAAAACTCAAGGATCAGTTGCCCAATTTAAAATTACCCAGACTCACTTTTAAATTTGTAGGAAGCAGAGCTAGGAAAGTGTAAAGAGAAAATGAGACTAAAACGGGGAGGTTTTCCAAGAAGTGTAAGAGAAAAATGTGACTACCAGCTTTAGTACAGCTGTAGGAATTTCTCAGTTGCAGACCAGTTGTGGGGGCCAGTGGTTTTTTTGGGGTCCCCTATTGACCTCACCCCATTCTTGCCCTTAGGGCAACTATGTGCTGGATCGAGATGAGTTGGTGGAGGCCCAAACAGCCGAGTATGATGTGGTGCTCTGCCTCAGCCTCACCAAGTGGGTGCATCTGAACTGGGGAGACGAGGGGCTAAAGCGCATGTTCCGCAGGATCTACAGGCACCTGCGCCCCGGGGGCATCCTAGTCCTGGAGCCCCAACCGTGGTCATCCTACGGCAAGAGAAAGACTCTCACGGTGAGTTGGATTTGTGCAAATGGGAATAATCCTTTGGCTGAAGCCAGAAAAGGCCTCAAGGAAGCAGACTTTCTGAGTCAGGGGAAGGGCCCTCGTGGGCATCATTCATGCCCTGGCTAGGAAGCAGCTAACGTGATCCCCGTCTTTCTTCTCCCCAGGAAACAATCTACAAGAACTACTATCGAATCCAGCTGAAGCCAGAACAATTCAGTTCCTACCTGACATCCCCTGAGGTGGGTTTCTCCAGCTATGAGCTCGTGGCCACACCCCACAACACCTCCAAAGGTAAGGCTGGCTCATTTTTTTGAGGGAGGCCAGTGGTGGCCAAGAGGCTGCAGACCCTGTAGAATCCCATAGTCCTGCCAGCCTGTTTCTTGATTGCATGCTCTTCCCCTAGGCTTCCAGCGTCCTGTGTACCTGTTCCACAAGGCCCATTTCCCCAGCCACTAAGTGGCCCCCTGAAGAGGAGTGAAGAGGCTGCCCTTGCTGCTCCTAAGGACCTGGGGAAAGAGGAAAGTATCTCAAGGTCTTTCTGACTCTAAAAAGTTTTCTTTCTTGGATCTGCAAAGAAAGCTTTTAAGTTGCTGCTCCAGCCTCCTCCCCTACATCTGTGGCATCTGAGCACCAAGTCCAGCTGTGCTGGAGTTACCATCATCTTCTGCTCCCCTAGCCCGCTGGGCTGGATGGCATGACTGTTTGCTGATCTGTTCTCCTAGGGCGTGGGAAGTGGCAAGCATCAAATTCTCTAATCCTTTCCTTCTGCTTTCCCAGGGAGATTCCCTTTTCTCCTTACCCCTTTCTCTAGCTGCATTTCAGTGGACCACAGAAGGATGAACTGAGGGTTAGAGGGGGAAGCTTGGCAGGGAGGCACACAATACTGTGAAAATCCTTCCTTCTGCTGTCCCCTAGTGGGAGAGAGGGCTGGGTTTGGAATGTGAGAGCACAATAAACTAGGGCAGTGTCTCCCCACACCTGTCTGCTACTTTCTAGTGGGGAAGGGATGGCACCTCTGATTAGAACCTGTGCTTCCTGTCAGTTCTCAGGTCTCAAGAGGGCAGGTTTCTGGGGCTGGGGAGACTGCTGAATGCTAGTTAAATCTACATGTTACCATACAACCCTGATCAGGAAAAAGGTATAATACAATTTTTGACTTGCAACTTGAGTCTGACTTCTTTCAAAACCCAGCTTTGGTCAAAAGGCTAATTTTGGAGGACTTAACATTGGAGATGAAGTGGAGCTAGAAAAAGGTACTTGGGGTCGGAGCCGATAACCTCTAGAACCCACCACTCATGTTTTTTGTGTTGTGGAATCTAGGGGCAATTAGTAACATGAAGCTTTTAAGTGGTCTGTCAAGGGTCACTGGAGCCTTGAACATTCAGCAAATCCTGAGCACTCTTAGGTCAGGTGTAAACGAGATGGTCCTTAAAGGTAAAGCAGGCAATTACAGTAACTCGGGTGCAAAGGGTTGCCTTACAGGTTTCTTGAGACAGGGAAAGCCACTGATAGGCAGAGACCCACGTTGGGGGTGGGGGTGCCTTTTTTTCATTTTAAGGACAAAATTACCTATCAGTGAGAAATGAATTTTTGTGTATGTGTTTGAGGATGGGTGTTGTGGATGCCAAGCTCACACCCATACCACTGAGCCTTACCTACCCAGCTTGGGACACACATTTTAAAAGATCAGAGTAAGTAGTTGAGCCTGGTGGCATCAGAGTGGTGACTGTAATTACGGGGGGGGGGGGCAAGGCAGAAGGTTGATTCCTGACTTGGACAGTGTTTTCCACTTGCCATTACTTCCCCAAGTTCCCAAAAAGACGGCCCGAAACTCAGCATCCAGCCTGTAGCGAAGTGGACAAACCCCTGGTAGGGTTTACATGCTGGCTCCCAAAAGTCCCATCTATTAGCAAAACCATTTTATTCCCAAAAAATTCTCACAAACACACACACAATTAGCGATCCAGGGAGCTTTGGGACCTAAGCCTCCCACCGCCTCAGGGTCTTGTGCATGAGGAAGGTGTCCTCCGGGGGACGGGTCCGGGCTTGAAGGCGGAGAGGGGGCAGCCCGTCCAGGGTCAAGTGTGGAGATTCATAGCAGAGTGAGTCTGGGTCGCACAGCATGGTCATATCCGGCCCTGGCCCTGGTGGCTCCTGTAGGAATTGGTGCCCAATGCCAAGTTAGATTCCAGGAGGATGAAGAGTCCACGACTAGGGTGGACGGGACGCGGGAGGGTGGCCAGCAGCAGTCCCGTCACCTTCGGGGGCGGGGCTCGGGCCTGCGGCGGCAGCAGAGCCAGCCTTTCTCTCAGCGCGGCGTTCAGGACCTCCTCCTCCGGCACCTGCAGGCTCACCAGGTTCCGGAAGAGCCGCCGGGAGCGCGGCACGTTCAGCCCTGCGGGCGCGGGGGAAGCAGGGTTGAGCGGGCCCTCCCGCAGCCGCGACTCCCGCGCCCCGTCGGCCGCGCGCCCGCCTCACCCTCCGCCACGCTCTCCTCCAGGCCGCAGCGGGTCTGGAACGACTTTCGCAGCTGCTCCTCCACGGCCCTCGCAGCATCAAACGAAGCTGCGACGCGCGCTGCCTGCAGCTCTAGGCCCAAAGCCAGGCTGCTCTGCGGCGCGGGAACCTCGAGCTCGTGCGGCGCGGCGGAGGGCGGCTCGGTCCGGACCGGGGACCGAGCGGGCGCCAGGCGAAAACGGACCTGGGGGCGGAGAGCTGGGCGGTGAGGGGCCGCGCGCGGCCAGGCAGGCCCGGAGCTGGGGTCGGGACTTCCCGCGGCTCACCTGCCGCCCTCTCTGGGCTCCGGACCGTCGGCCCGTCCGCCCCTTGTGCCGCCCCGGGCTGCCGTCCCGTAACTTGGGGCTCTCGGGCAGCGGGCTCAGACTCAGGTCCAGGCCGGGCTCGGGCACTGGGGCCTCTGGGGGTGGCCCTGGGACCGCCACGGACTCCAGCTGTGGCTCCTCACCGCCCATCATCTCGGGGTTGCTGCGAGGGTGCGCGGTCACGGATTTCAGACTCACCGCCTCTTCTGCTCCCCAGCCCCGCCCCTCCTGACACTGCTACCGGAAACCGTTAGTCTTACCCAGGGGGATGGGAACAGTACCTCGCTCCGCCCTATTGGCGTTCCTACAACGTCATTTCCTCTGCCCCACCCCAGTTTCGCGGGGGCTTCTGCTTGCCAAATCGAGCACGGCCCTTAAGGCGAGGTGTTACTACTGGAACCCATAGAAGTCCTACGGGACGTCATTAGGACCACTTCTTTCGAAAACTCCCATACGGCATCCTGGCCTGTTTGAATCTTTCCCTGGTTTCTCGTGGCTTTGGAGTGTGAAGTTAGTCCTTGTGGGGTGCCAAATGGAACAGCCTTAACTAAACGGCCCAGTGGCCCTGCATCTAGACCTGCCCGCACCGTGCCACGGACAGAGGAGAAATATAACTACCATTACCAACCTGCTAGATGTCAGATCTGCCGAGTTCCTGTCCCTCGAATATCGAAGAATGAATTGCAAGGGACAACAGAGATTAAGAGTAGGAAAAGTTTATCAAGAGATAGCTCCTTGGGGAGTGGGAGGACTAGGGGAAAGGAAAGAAGGGAAAGGAAACAAATATGAGAAAAAGAAAAAAATAGAAACAAAGCCTTTGTAAAGAGGGAGGAGTGGAAGGGTTGAAAGGGCAGGGGAATGGGGAAAAAATAAGAACCAAGATATATCATGTAAAGGTACAAGTTCCCAGTGATGAATGTAACTGTATTGTATAGGTAAAATGTACCAATAAACTTAATGGGAAAAAAAAAAAAAAGAGTACCTGAGAGACAGGAGAGGCCGTGAAAGTGGGTTGCCACAGAGGCCACTTCTCAAAGAGTTTTACAGAGCAAAATCACGAGGTGGGTCAAACTATAATCAACCAGTAAGATGACAAGTATAGCCACTTAGCTAATATTGATCCACTAGGGAGGTGTGGTACATAGCAAAGGTATATTTCTAGGATCATTGACTTTAGCTTATTTATAAATTCTAACAGAACAGAAACATTTTTGAGGAGGGATGGTCTAGAGGTTCTGGTCACTCACCTGAATGTCTGATGCCTATCCGGACTTCCTGGACTAGGTGATGCTAATTATAGTATAATTCTCAAGTTACTGTTTATCCCTTAGGGAAGCATGCAAGGTTGGCCATTGTGATTTCAGCTTGAGGCCTGGCCTTCTTCACATGGAGCTCCAACCACAGTTTTGATGTGTTCTCATCTTCACTGCCTCTTTCAAGGAACCCTGCCTTTTAATTTCTAGCTTAGCTACTTATAATACTGTTGATCTGTGCCTCCATTATACCTTTGTCAATCCCACACTGACTTGATTATGGTAGTGAGCCTCCACACTGGGTGTAGTTCCTACTTTTTTTTTTTTTTTTTCTTTTGAGACAGGGTCTCACTATGTAGTTCAGCCAGGCCTTGAGCTCACTGTGTAGCCCAGGCTGGCTTCAGACTGAAATCGATCCTCCTGCCTCAGCTCCTGAGTGCTGGGATTACAGGCATGTGCCACCGTGCCCAGCCCTCTTACTTTATTCTTTTTTTAAACTGTTTTTATTACTTGTCTGTTGATTTCTACTAAGCAGATATATTTTTTAAATTTTCAGAGAGATGTTTCTGGTGAAACTTGGAACATAACATCTCTCCGCCTGAGATCTTTTCAGGGCACGCTGTAGGGTTTGGGATGAAACCCAGTCCTCATTTCAGCAGTGGGCGGCAATCCTGGTTTCCCTCCTCCATTCCTTGCTGCCAGCCTCATCCCTTTCCCTTCCCTGCACTTCTACTTCACTCTGTGAGTTTCACACTCACCCCCTTTGGAAATACTAATGCTTGGAGTGGGGAATTAGCTCAGTGGTTTTGTTGCCTGCCTTGCAAGCGCAAGGTCCCGAATTTGATCCCCGATACCACAAAAATCAAAATGTTAATTCATTTGGGGTTTTTTTGTTTGTTTTGCATTGTTTTACACTTTGTTTTGTTGTTTTGGTGCTGGGGCTTGAATCCAGGCCCTTAGTGCTAAGCCCTGCTCTTCATTGAGCTAACTCTGGGCCCCTGATGCTTCTGACTTCCAAGGTTTTCCTCACACTGTTTTCCTGACTTTTCTCTTCCCTCTTTAACCCCTGCTCTATATCTCAGGGAGGGCTTCCTTGAGTCCCTGCCTCTGTCACAGTAGGGCAGGACTTCCTCTTGCACAGCCCCTGACATGCAGGAGGTACTCAGTAAATGTTTGGGATGTGGAAGAGTCTAATGGGTATTTATCACTCAGTCCAGCCTTCCCACTCCATGAGTTCGACGTGGACTTCAAGACTCACATTCCCTCCCTTTGACAGGTCTGACCCTGTGCTATTCCCCTTCCCCAGGAACCCAGGACTGTGAAGATCCTAGAAATAAACTGGATGTGGTGGGGCACACCTGTAATCCCAACACTCTAGGAGGCTGAGGCAGGAGGGTTTCAGTTTGAACCAAGCCAAGCCTGGACAACTTAGGGAGACCGTGTTTCAAAATAAAAATACAAAAAAGGCTGAAGGTGTAGCTTAGTGCAAAAGCTCTGTCTTTAACCCCTGTACTACCAAATATATATATATATATGCATAGCCCAAAAGGAGGTGCACAGAGTAGGCACAAGGAAAGGGCAGAGAGGAACAGCACTGTCTGAAGGGGCTGTGGGTCCCTGTGTCAGGCTCACAGTACAGAGTGGGAGTTGGGGTCCCAGGGAGAAACCTAGGCCTGAGCAGGCAGCTGTGGAGCAAAGGATACCGGGCTCAGCCGCCTTCCAGACCTCCCCTCCTCAGATCTTTTTCTCCTCATTATGCTGTCTGCCTCTGAGGGCCCCATCTAGGCGGTGCTCACCTCTCCACCCAAGCTGCAGCCTGGCCCGACTTCCCTGTCCCTGCCCCCAACAGCAGGCTGTCACTCTGTTGACCAGTCTGGGCACCACTGATAGGTGCCTGGGGACACCGTGTAAACTGCCTTCCCTTTCTGTGCCCAGGACCCTGGGGTCTGCCTCTGCCCTGCCCTGCCCACAGGCCTGCACCCTTCATTCTGGGCTGATTCTCCATCCTGGAAACTCTTCCTGAGCCAATTAGAAAAGTCAGGGACCTCCCTTTCTAAAGGCTGTGTGTGTGTGTGTGTGTGTGTGTGTGTGTGTGGTATTAGGCACTGAACAGAGGACCTCAAGATGAGCTACATACTCAGCTCTTCTATTTTATTTTTCAGTTTGAGACAAAGTTGCTAAATTTCCCAGACTTGGGGTACACTTGAGATGCTCCTGCTTCAGCCTCCCAGTGTGCTGAAATTACAGGCTTTGCCACTATGCCTGGCTCCAAAGACATTTTTAAAATTTTTTTTTTTAGGGATTATTCACTGCCTTTTTCTTGTGTAAAAAGTCTCTTGTAGCTACTGCTCGAGAGATTCTGATGTGGGTCTTTACAACATGGTCACTGAACTAGTAGAAATGGTCTCTTTCCAGAGGTTGGGAGTCAGGTAGCTGTAGGCCTTGCAGATGGCGTCATGGTGGCCTTGGCGAGGTTGCCAGAGTGACCCAGAGAAGCACAGCAGTCATCAGTGACACCATCACTGGCAGCTCCTTGGACAGAGGGACTGAGACGATGCCAGTGCCTCGGGGCAGGGACAGTGTGGTGCTTGCTGGGCTTGTTGCCCTGAAGCCTCTCTGCACAGGGACCACAGAGAGCCGGGCCAGCGTGGGAACTCTGATGGCAGTGGCTACTTCCTTCGGGCACCTTAACCCAGACTGACATGACTCTCCTAGGCCCATGGTGACAACCGTCTCCAACCTGGTCCCTGGCCAGCCTGAGGTATTTCCATGCCAGCAGCATCTTCAGAACTTCATCCTTGAAGGAGTACCTGGGAGAAGTCAGTCGTCTGCGACTCCTTGATGGGCAAGGAGAAGAGGTGCATCTCCTCCAGGGACTCCATCTTCATGACCTGGACCAGCCCACCCAGCTTGATGACAGGATCCACTCCTTGGTCTTGGCCTGGAGGCTGTGGGCTCCCATGCCTGGGCCGGGGCCTCTGGACCCTCCAGTTGTACCCACTTCAGCCGCCATGAGGAACAAGGTCCAAAGGCCTTTGTGGGGGCAGGGGCAGTGAGCAAGCAGGGCTCAGGACCCCTCGAGGCATCGCTTCCCTGCCGTCTGGAGCTCTCTGGGCCAAGAACATGGCACCCAGGAAATTCTCCGGAACCTGGGCCACTGTGGGAGTGGTCTTCAAACCCAACCTGCGTCGCATCAGGCCTTTGAGAATGCTTGCTTGGTGTCTGCAGACTCCATTGTCTGTGTCAACTCTGAGGATAGCCAGCTGTTGTCTGAAGACTGAGTCCCATGTATGTCCCATGGGGTCCAGTGCTCTTGGCATTGCTAGAAACTGTCCTTCTGGGTGAAATTATGTGATAAATCTGTAAAGAGAGACTAATGTCAGTGGTCAAGGGGATCAGAATAAAAAGATTTGTTTGGACTTGAAAAGGACTTTTGGCATTATATTGGGATGGGGGAGAAATGCTATCCCTTAAGACATGAGAAGCAGTCAGGCCCTAGGTGTGGTACGCCTAGCGCTGGTGCGTAGCTCACAAGGTGGAAAGTTAATGGTTGACTACAGACTCACCACTCAGCCACAGTGTGGCCTTTAAGGAACAATGGCAGAATAACCATGGTTCCCCCATCAGGGGCTGTGACAGGAAGGGAGCCAGCCCAGCCTTGGGGCTCAGAAAGACTCTGGTTCAAGTTGTGCCTTTCCTGGCTGCGTGACCCTGAGGAAGTGAATTAACCTATTTGAATCCCACTTCCTCATGTGGAGAGCAGAGCATTTGTTTCATACCACTGCGTGAAGGTCGAGCGCGTTGCTCAGGGCCTCTCCCCGGCAAATGGGTGCATGGGTGAACAGGTCTTCTCCTGAAGGTGTTATTAAAGAAGTGGATTGAATGTGTGTGGAGACCAGCAGCAAGAGCATCTCCTGCCTCTGGAAAGGTAAAGCGACTCTCA